GAAGCCGAGAGCTGGAGCCCAGGGTCAGCTGTCCCCGCAGGGCCGAGAGGAGCGGGAGGCGGCCGGAGAGCCCCCGCTCGCCTCCTCCAGCAGCAGCCCGGGCGGGACGAGCAGGGCTCCGGCGGAGTCAGCACCACGGCAGGGCAGGGAGGGCAGGCTCCCCTGCAGATGGGAATGACTGGCAAGAGCCACGACCGACTGCCGGCCGGTGAGGTATGGACATTAAAAAGAACATTTTCTCGAGGACACCATATGCAAATACACATATTCAACCATTTACAGCGTACAGCTCAGTGACAGCACTTACGTTCACACTTGTACAACCGTCACCACCACCCTTCTCTGGAACATTTTCATCTTCCAAACTACAACTCTGTTCCAATTCAACACTAACTCCCCTTTTCACCCTCTCCCCAGCCCCTCGACCCCACCAGGCTGTCTCTGTGGATCTGACGACTCAGGGCCCTCACACAAGTGGGATCACACAGTATTCGTCCTTCGGTGACGGGCTTACTGCACTGAGCATGACGGCCAAGGTCCATCCAGGTTGCGGCACTTGTCAGAAAGCCCTTCCTCTATAAGGCTGAAGTCTTCTGCTGCACGGATGGGCCACACGTTGTGTATCCATTCATCTGTCCACAGACACTGGGGCTGCTGTCACTTTTTGGCTATTGTGAATCAAGTTGTGAACATTAGTGCACAGCATCCATCTGTGCCCCAGCTTTCAATTATTTTGGTGGGGAATACAGACCAAGGTGGGAGCTCTGTGTCAAAAACTTTTGCGAAATGGCCCAGGTGTCTTCCACAGCAGATGAGGCTGTTTTTTCTTTTCTAAAATACTCACATGACTACGATGTGTTGTTTTGGAAGAATTGTCGTCAAATCCATAATTCACAACTGCACAAATAAATGTGGCAACTCAACTGTCATTCATAAATACAAAATTTTATTTGCACTTCATTAGTGTAGAAACACAATGCTTTTCATACCACGACACTCAAGACACGCCAAGTTATTCAAATACATAATGACTTATTCACCTTGACTAAACAGTGCAGTTTAATAAAGGAAGATCTGCCAAAGATAGAGTTCACAAATCCATTATCAGACCAGGAAAAAAGAAAAAAAGAACACAGTCCAGGCTTATATAGGAGTAAGCTTCACCATCAAGGGGGAAGTTTCATCATTACAAAGGTATAGAGAAGGTTTAGGCAAATACATGTGTGTTCTCTGATATAGTAAAATGTATCTCTTTAAAATTCCTTTAAACAGGATTGGTTTAGGACAGCAGCGTTCATTTCAAATCTTCTATTGTTTCAAAAACATTTCTTTTTTGAATCTTTGTAGTTCTTAGAAGCACAGGACTCATCCATTAGGAAACCGGAGAGATTCTTCGGCTTAGGATCAAGTCAAGTCCTGCCCCTCAACTAGTCAGTTCTACTGGTATGTGAGGTGAACAAATAACCTTCGAGACGGCTACGGATGGAGCTTTGCTTTGTGGGAGACACTCCAATACCTCAAAGGCGCTACAGCTGGGAGAAATGTAAATAAAGGAAAAGCTTTCAGGGTAGCTTTTTCCCCCAAAAAGTCTTTAGTTTTACGAATTTTCTTTAAAACGGTAAGCAAAGCACCACATTCTTTCTTTTCAGACTATCTTCTGTCCTCATAAGAGAATTAACAAGGACAATTATATTATTTACTTCAAGACACATTATAGCTCTCATTTCTCCTGCTCTTCATATTAGAAGTACTACGTCTCCCAGTGTACACAGATGAGGCACTGGGATCATGAATGAAATATAACAATTTGGAGGGAAGCATGTAATTCATAACCGAAACTCACCCAGGATTGCATATTTGCATATTTACAAGTTAGTGTATAGCTCTGACTTGGATTACAAAGTGCGGAAGGAAATTGTCGAAACGATTGTAGTGCAGAACGGAACACTTCCCTGTCCAGGAACCGCCTCCGCCGTGTCTCCAACGTAGCACGTCAACAGCACCGGACGTGAGGTCGGGGCGGGGGCAGCTCCGGGGGGATCTCAGGCTCCGGCTGCAGCGAGAGGATGCTGTTGGACAGCTCGTTCCTTAGCACGTCCAGAGGCATCTGGAGAACAAAGGAAAAGAGACAGGTGCAGTTTAACCACACAATGTACAAGTCACTCTGCAAACCATGCCCTTGTGTAAAAACAAAGTATCTTTCAGAGAAAACTCTCCAAATCATCAGCGCTCACCTAGACATTAAAATATTAAGCCAAAAACTAAACCAGGTTTCAGGGAGTTTCATTCAACCCTTGCACAAACACCACCCAGCCTGTGTCATACCCTCCGGTGGAAGAAACCAGGCAGACCTCATAAACTGTTTCCACGGCCCACTGTAACGAAAATGTAATGTATCAAAGAATGAAAGATGGTTCTGCGACCTCAGGGGTTACAGCATTACCAGAGAAAGGAGTGGCTTCTCTTGGCAATTACACAGACAACCCTGGTGTGAGAAGCATCTGACCGGAGCAGACTGCGTCACAGTAATATAAGTGCACTTGAAGGTCTCACTAAGAAATCTTTAGATGTGATGCTGACAAACCCTGAGCAAGTGCTGCTGTTAGGGAAGCCATGTTTCTGCCGGTGGGGCTGTGAAGGGTCTTGTGATGGCCTCAGGCCCCTCAGACGGGCAGTGGAGGGGAGACAAGACCCCCCCCCCCGGCTGTATCTAACTTGATTCTTGTGGGAAAATGCAAAAAAAGAGAGAAGTGGATGTAAAACGCACAGCCCACTGTCACACCAGCTCCAGCTGCTCCCCCAATCCGTGTGTACGGCTGAGCCAGAAGCCTGGACGGGGCCGGCGTCCTTAGTGGACACTGAAACCCTGGACTGAGCGCGCAGCTCCCTGCTCCTCCAGCCTGACAACCACCACCATGCTTCCCTTTCTAAACACAAAGTTCCCAGCCAAAAAACAGCAAAGGAAACAGAACAGGTTTCAGATGCAACACTTTGATGATGTAGGATTTTTTTTTTACCTTTTTCAGGATGTCATCAACAAGTTTCAGAAATATTTCATCCACATTGAAGTTATCCTTGGCACTTGCTTCACAGAACCGCATCCCAGTTATCTGCTGTGCAAACTAAGAAAAAAATTATTCTTCTCTGTGGGTTCCATGCTACACAGCCTACAGGACAAGCACGAGGCCTGTGCCTGGGGAATCATAGCTCTGGGGCTTCTGCTTTAACTGGGGGTGGGGGGGCCCAAAAGTTTGGAGGAGTCCTGTTTACCCTCAAATATAAAGTTCACGAGTGCAGCAAATTCCTATGTTATAAGGAAACAACAAAACAAACAAAATCCCTAAAGTGATACCAGGACCTTCAAGTCCAACTATGCACGCAAGTTTATAAAACTGCAGTGTACCTGACATTTAAAATGTGAGTATCACTGACTCTCCGAGGAAACCATGAAAGCCATTACATGGTTTAAAAGAACGTTTCTCTGTGTAAAATGTCAGGATAGATTATATGCATTATATATATATACATAAAATGCAGTAATATTAATGTGTTTTTTCCCCTCCATGTCAAACCAAATTTAAAGGAGCAGGAAGTTAACAAAAGCAAACAAGGAAGGAGGATGTGACGGGGAGATAACTTGTATTAAGTTATGAAATAATTATAAAGTAACTTATTTAAAAGAAAAGGATGCCACGTGCTGGCCGTGCCGAGGTGGAGCTGGGGCCACCCTCTCCTGCTCCGTTTCTCACCTTTTCTCCCTGCTGTCTGCTGATTTCTCTGTCCGTTTCACAGTCCAACTTATTTCCCACCAAGAGAAGTTCTGCGTCTTCCGAAGCGTACTGTGGGATGGGGAGAGAAGCGGCATCTCAGCGGCGGGCGTGTCACACGCCACGGGACACGCCGACCACGGGACAGGCCAACCACGGGACACGCTGGCCACAGCCACAGATGCTTCTCCCTCCTTGAGTCTCTGAGCACCTGCTCTGTCTGGGCAGAGCTCCTGCCTGGCCTGCAGCGTTTCAGAAAGCATCGTGGTCCCAGGCCTGACGGACCCCAACATTCTCAGCCTTTGACCCAAACTCCTAAGAATCTACCCTGAGGAAACGATTTGAAATACAGGCAAACTTCTATACTCAGTCAGAAATAAACTGAAAATCCCACAAAATATGTGTGAAGAATGAAATAAGTTCAGGTACATAAAAAATAAAGTCATGATGAAACAAAACATATGCTTTGGAAGACCATATATCTGACAAAGGAAGGCCGTGGTGACAGAATATTTAGTGAAATAAGCAGGATGTAAAACTACACGGAGTTCGGATGCAATCCAGTTTTTCTGGATGACAGAACTAAGGATTTTTAACATTTAGTTTTGTGCTTGGTTTTTTGAATTTTCTATAATGACAAGGTACCATTAGTTTTATAGTCAGGAAACATTAAGCTCCAGTTCTAAGTTAAAAAAATGTACCGGCACAGTAGAAGTTCTCTTTAAAAAGGTTAATCCCTCTTGAGTCACTCGCTGAATCTGGGGTAACTTCGAGCGTGACCTGAGACAGACTTCAGCACAAGGCACCTAAGCGGGTGACATCAGCCAGGGGACTCGGGCACACTCCATGGCTTCAGCATCGGGGGTAGGGTCATCCTCACCATCGCAGAGCCCAGACCTGCTCTAGGCTCATCACCTCAGTAACCCCGGCAACCCTGCTCCCTAACACATTTTAAAGAGGCAGACACTAAAAATATGCTTGGTACAACCTGCAGATGGACATTCTCCAGCATCATCTAACAAACGGGTTAACACAATTTGTAAACAAAATTCAACTTATAATACATTAAGTGTGCTTGCTATGCAAAGGAATCAAACATCAAATTACTGAATAAGGGGGAAGAAAACTCTCAAAATATGATCACTGCTTACCACCACATCTCCCCCTCAGTGGCTGTGTCTTCTCCATGTGAACCCTGGGTACCCATTTCTTAGAGGGGAACCCACGGACCACATCAATCATACAGACCCAGATTATCTCTACATAGTCCACTGTGATCCAAAGGGTAAGATCTTAGTTCACAATGAGGAGGTGGAGGCCACCTAGAATTCTGAGGGCAAATGTCCAGTGATGACCCAGGTCCTTGGCACGTCCACAGGCATAGTGGAGAAGGCCACCCCTGTGGGGCTGTCACTCTGTGGACACTCTGAGCTTGACTGTGCAAGTGAACTTTCTGCAGAAACACACAGTACTTGAATCTGATTGCACGGAAGCCACCTGACAGCGTGGAGTGAGCAAGTTTGGGCTTTGATGTCAGATGGCCCAGGCACCAGGATGAAAATGCTGGCTGTATTATTTATAAGCTGATTCTGGAGACATTTACACTCTTCTCTGCCTCATGTGTAAGGCAGGACTACAGATCTACTCTGAACGCTGTCATCTGGATTAACGGACATTCAGCAAAAGCTCCCCTTCTTCCTTTGTGACAACGAACACCCACAAGCAAAGAGTTCTCATCTGAGACAAAAGTGTGACACCCACCTTGTCAATCATCTTCATCCACTTTGGCAAGTCATCAAATGTCTCCTTCTTCGTGATGTCATACACCAGTATGATCCCCTTGGCACTTCTGTAATAGGCTGAGGTAATGCTGTTGAATCTCTCCTGACCTGCTGTGTCCCTAAGAAACAGCAGAAGTCAGTTCCCAAACAGCGCAGACTGGGGAGAGCCACGGCCCAACCACTGGCCGACGCCTTCCGGGCACCAGGCAACTCCTCACACATCTGTGCACGTGTGCATATTCGTTATGAGCAGGGGCAGCTTTTCCGAGCTAGGCACATCCAAACAAAATCATAAGGAAGCCCCAATTTCTTTCAAACCAAGATTGTGAACATAAGTCAGTGCCGTGTACAATGGTGGAAAGTACAGCACCCTGTACACGAAGTAATTACCAACAGTGACAAAATGCATGGATGGAAACTGGAACAATTTACGGCTACAACACTCTTTTAACCCAACCTGCTGGCAAACACCTGATTTTGCTGATAAGATGACCAGGAGTCCCCACTAATGAAAAATGCTCTAGAATCAGTCTTAACATGTTCTTAATCTCTGCCAACAGAGTAAGTGGAAAAGGAGGAAGAGGTGGCCAAGTAGGTTTGCAAACACAGTCAAGTTCACGACTCTGCGACTGCTCCTTTGGAATCTAGACCTTTAATTCTTCTCCAGGAAAAGCCGCCCGTTTCAACATGAAGAATGACACAAGCTCGTTAACAGTGCACAGAAGCTGGCCGAGACCCACCTTCTCCGTCTAAGAAGCCAAGAAACTGCGTGAGAACCTCCATAAACTTACAAACGAGGCTCAGCAGAGCAGGTCTGCTGAGCAGGAAGACAGCTCCTTAGAGATGATCTGTAGCTTAGCTTTTCCCAAAGCCCCCTAGCTCACGGCACACCCCAGGGCACGTGACCCTCCCATGAAGCAAGCTTTGCTCCAGAGGCTGGCAGCCTCCCTGGGCCCCTGGACGGGAGGCCTGGGGGCCGAGGCCGGCCTGCCTGGCCCACCACAGGCCCTCCACGTCCACGTGCCAAACACGGCCACCCGGGTAACATGCAGAAGTGGGTGCCACTCCAAGGCACAATAAACTTTGTTTTTTGACCCAGAACTGCCCCCAATTTGGAAAACTGAAAATAGCGGGGGCTGAATCCTTCAGGATTTCTAACACCAACTGAAAGATGCTAAAGTGGGTGAGAAGGGACTGACTGAGACACCATTTCACCCACACGAGGAACCAACAGATACAGTTGTTTCTGGGATCCTCAGCACTCAGGGGTGCACTTAATATTCTCAAACCAGTGAAGACCGAAATCTTTCAGAGCATGATTTCTCCTCCTATCACGAGTGGTGGCTTATTAAAATTCGATACAGTATTTTTAATGTTTTAAAAAATTGTCTGTGCTGTCTGAACACTTCTCATTCATTTCTTCTCTTTTTCTTAATGGAGGTACGGGAAGATGAACCCAGGCCCTCATGCATGCTAAGCATGCATCTCTGCCACTGAGCTATGCCCACTCCCTGTCTCAGTTGTTTCTTTAAAAGCAAAATAACACACGTTTTCTGCTCTGCAACCTGGGATGAGCACAACACAGCGGCTCCACCAGTTTGCACAGCAGCTACACACAAGCTCTTCCCTGAGCGCTGCGGGAGTTACGCGCTTTCGCGAACCTTCATTCTAAGGATTTTAAGCTGGCTTCTAGTGCAAACCAATTTCGTATTCGTTTTTATACAAGTTCACTGAATTAGAATCCAGAAACTAGGGGCTCAAGAGATTAGAAATAATAGGAGTTTTTGGAAAATTATTTTTATTTTATCGTGGCAAGAACACAACATGAGGTCTACCCCTGGAGGCGTGGGTGCACAGTACAGCACCGTTACCTATGTCTAGGAGAAGCTTTAATAAAAATCCAGCTATTGAGGAATCAGAACAGTAAGAGGCATTTTTGATCTGTTTAAAATAAACGTCTTGCATGAGCAGCACACTTAAGAGCGTTAGAAACGCGGTAAAAGTAGCTGTCCTGTCAGCCTGAAGTCAGACACACACACAGGACAGAGGCCTCAATGTGCACAATCGGAGGGAATCTAACAAACAAATGACCCTGAACCCCAGCGAGGAAACATGAAGGCCACTCCTTAAACGCCACTTTCTGTGCCTGGCTCTGACTGCTCGAGGTAGAAAAGCATGTTCCTTTGGAAGACTCTTTCCATATCCCCAAAATATCTGGGTTGCAAGTGTTTTTATTTTCTATTCCTCTCAAAAGTTCTTCTGCCTGATTCAGCTCCCTCCTGAATTATCTGCTACCACGTATGGTCAAAGAGCAGAGCGAATGAAACCCAGTTCAGCTCAACAAGGATTCCTTACACACCTACTGAGCCAGGACTGAAAATTCCACACAACTCTTCGCTTTCAAACAGCCACGTGACACCAAGACACCAATGCGCTGATCATACTTTTATCTGCCCAGAAAGACACAGAAGCCTAACATTTCCTGTCTTTAGGATGAACTTGAAATTTCACTGTCATAACAAAGAGCTGATTTCTGGAGATTTTCAGGTTGTTAACATCAGCTAAACCATCGTTTATTACAGGTGGAATATGATTTTGTTCACATTTCTCTCTCTGCTTCTGGGGCAAACTAAAAAATTTCTACAACCCTGTTTCCCCGGTCTGGTAATACAACCATGCTGTGAAAACACAAAGGGCCTCATTTTTTGTGTTTACTGTGTCCACTTCAACGACACAATTCCTACTCTGCAGGCGGGAACCCACTTCAGAGCGTGAGTGTTCGACCTCTTCGAGGAGAACGAAGGACACAAGCTCGACGTCCCCGTACGGACGCGGGTTAGCACCGCCTGCCCAACAGGGAACGCTGCTCGACGGGCAGAACCAAGGCGCCTCCAGATGAAGCGTCTATTTGCTCCTGAAGACAGGAGGCTGGCCTCTCAGTGCCAAGTCTGCTTCAACACAACGACTCTGAGTCTGTGCATCGTTCCTGGGAGAGCACGTGGATGCAAGTTTGTGGACCACGTTCTGGTCGACGTCCTATTTTAGCTGTACTCCCACCAAGTTCTACGCACACACATGTAGAAACCCTTCATGCAGAGACGGGAAAATGGTCCTTTTTCTAACCACAGATAATCAAGGAACTTAAATGCAGCGGTGACATAAAATGTGACCTAAAAATATGACAATGACATCTGAGGCTTTTGGTACCTTAGACTTCTAGGGATCCACAGTAAATAACAGTTTCTATGGTTGGCTAGATCCAGACATCATCAGGAAAGGACGCGTTTCGTCTAACAAGCCCTCCTTGTGAAGACCGGCCCCAGCACCTCCACGGACTCAGCCCAGGTCAGCCCCCTGAAGAGCTCCCCCCAGCCACACCAGCTCCTCCCGCACCCTCGACTGTGACAGAGGGATGACAAGAGGCCCACAGCGAGGCAGGTGACAACAGCCACAGCACAGGGACATCTCCCAACGCCAAACACACCGCGCGTTGCTTTACATACTGAGCCATGCCTCCAGCTGGTCCCACCTATGGGGTGACAGTGGTGAAGAGAAAGGCTTCTTCCTTTAAATAAAATACTCCAGAAGGCAGACCCCTCCTGAGTCTCAGGTGGGGAGCGAGTAGCCGGTGTTTGCGGCCCACTGCGCACTGGTGAAAACCCCTCTGGGAAGGACAAGTTCTGCTTCCTCACTGACCCACAGGGGACCCCCGGTAGAAAACTGGCAGCTAGAGCCTCTTAGATCAGAGTCAGAGGGAGGCAGTTAGACTCCAGCAGGATCCAACATCACCAGCAAAAACGGCCTCAGGCGGGCAGGTTCCGGGGCACAGGACCTCGGACGTACACCCTTCTGTAAGCCGGATTACCACTGCCTGAGAGGGACCGAAGCAGCGACACGTTAATGGCGACGGGCCAGGATGTCACCACTTTGACACTGCTGTTGCCCCCAGCAGCCTCACAGACAAGCTCACACGAGCCGTGTCCCCTTCGTGAGGCCATGTCCACCAGAAAGGGTCTCCCCCACGGTGCCAAGTGCACGAGACTCCTCCCCAAGGCAGCCTTAGCCTTGAAGAGCCGACAGTTAGAACAGCGGCTCTGCGACAGCTGCGCCACTGCAGCTCCCGGAGCTCGCGGCCGGGCAGCAGTGCGCAGGACGCAGCCTGCTGCCTTCCCACTCCTGGGCGGACGACCAGAGTAGGCGCTTTCGGTTTTCGCGTATTTAGGCGGGACTGCCAACACTTCATCATCAAGCCCCAAACAAAAATACAGAAAACCAGAACAGAAGACAGAAAAGCACCCCCCACCCCAGAGTGGGGTAAGCAGCTCGCGAGGACCACGGGGACGTTACCTCGGGCGCATCCGTGGGCACCTGCGGGTCGGGGCAGCGGTGCCCGGACGGGACACGGATGAGGCATGGAGACATGGACAACACGCAAGCGCTAGGTGACCGGTGAAGCCAGAGATGAGGCGGCAGTGACCGCAGATGAGAGCAGACACACACAGGTGGACAGACACTCAGAGCTGAGGTGACCTGCCGGGAGGAGTTAGTAGCTGCGGGCACTGCGGCCGGGGCTCTGTTAAGACAAAGGGCATCTTCAGGACACCTCCACGGGGCCACGCGCTGCACCTCGCCTGGTCCCCTCTCCCGGCGGGGGGGGGGGGGGGGAGGCTCCCAGTGCTGACCAGTCATCACCAACACAGCTGGTTGAGTCTCTCCTACAACCCTGACGCGCGGAAGGGCTCGGGGCTCCCGCCGCGTGGACCAGTGACGCGGCCGGGAAGGCGCACATCCCACTGCTGCGGTCTCGCGGTGCCGCCAGGCACACGGTCTGCGGGTGATGGGCCCTGAAATCGTGCAACTCTGGATGTTCCGGGAGGGACATCCTGGACCCTCTCTGAAGGCTCTCAAAGCGACATTAAAAACATGAAGACACACATCTGAGCCAGCATTTGAGCAATGACGGTTTTGGCAAATGAGCTGAAACTAGAGACAGAAGGCCCCACACTCACTAGCTGTCACGAAAGTGACATTCTTCCTTCCACACTCCCGTGTGCAAACGGGGTCTGAGACAAGTGGACTCTTTTCTAAACCCTCTCTCTTGAAGGAAGCGCCGCTCACTTCATCTGAACGTGAATGAAGGGGAGGGACCCGCAGGAGAGACAGACCAGCGCTTGGACAGCGACTTGTATTAGACAAGCGTATGGATTGTTAAACACACATGGCAATTGCTGGGGGCAGAGTCCCCACTTACCAGATCTGTAATCTAATTTTCTTTCCTCTTAGCTCTACGGTTTTGATTTTAAAGTCAACACCTGTGAATAAAACAAATGGTGATAAAGCAAAATTATGTCGTCATCGGTCGTAATGATCATACTCTTTGCACATTTTTGTACCAGAAAAACAGACAAAAACCAAAAAACCTGACCTCACAAAATCCCAAAAGGAGAAAGCAGAAGTCCGCCAGTTTCCGTGAAGACCCGGTGGATTCTGTGCTTCCGCACACAACTCTCGGCAGCCACGCCGTGCCGCGTTTTACCCTGACCCCGGGTGGCAGCCTTTGCCGGTCACAGGAAGCTTGTTATGTCACAGGTGGAGCAGAAAAACTATTTAAAAATTACAGCTAGTAATTACGTGAGTGAAGGGATGGCTTTAGAAGCACATTATCTTGGGGAAAGTTCTCCCATGGACACTCAGTCTTGATTTCAAACAGCCTTGGGCCAAATGTAAAAACTATTCCCCTAAAGGTCTCCGTGTTCGCAGACGGTGACTTGATTGTACTGTCAGGAGTGCGGAAGAGTTATCTTTTAAAAATTCATTCACACAAATTAACAAGTCCGATTTCAATTTTTATTTACTTTAATAGTAACAAGCAAACCACTGAGCATCACCACCCCTTCCAAATCAGTCCTTAAAGCTTTGGATAATTAAAAAATCCTAAATTTTCATCTGCAGATGTTACCGTACATGCTTCTCCATTATAGAGAACGTGAAGACTTCAAAAATATTTTTTACACAATTTTCACAACTAAGAAAAATAAACCAAAAGGGATCCTGCTAAACGGGGGGACTAGAAACATATTCTGCACAGGAACGACTTCCTGATGGCTTCGTGGGACCCAGGGGCCCGACGCTGCCTGGCCCCTAACAGGCAGGGGGTGAGGGGTGGCCCACGTCGGCCAGTGACAGACAGGGACCCCCTCCCAGACCCATTTGCCGGGCTGATGCAGCTCTCGGAGGTCAGATGACCTTCTTGAGATGAAGCCCAGAACACGCGACTAGCTTTTATAATTAGTAACGCCCTGCAGACACCAGCGCAACCAGCAGACGTGTTCACAGCCCTGGGGCAGCCTCCCCTGTCAGGTCTACACAACAAAGTCACAGGAGCAGAACGTGTCGCAGCCAGAGACACGGCTGCTGAACTTCAGCGCTTCACCCCTCGCACCAGACGTGACTTCCAAGGTTGGGGAACGTGGTGAAGCCAATTCCACTTTCAGTTCTGGAACAGCTTTGTTTTCTGCAGTCAAATGACGCTCTCCAACAGGCCCGAAACAGGAAGCACGTCTGCGCGCAACCAACATCCTCCAACAGAGACCAGACAGCCAGCCACAGGGAGGGGCTCACGTGACGTTCCCAGGACGCGGAAACCAGCCTGGGCAGATCTGCGGTGTTCTGATTTCAAAAAGCCACAGTGTAGGGACAGAACCCCTCCTTCCTGATGTTAGCACGAAGTTAGGGCCTCACCATGCTGCTATGTGATGGCAGTTTTTACAAATCAAATTCATATGGTGTCATGTCCACCATTCTGTTTTACTTTTGATTCCCGCGCCTCTGATTTTTTTTTTTCCTTTTTAGTTAAGGGAGCTGCAACATTTGTAAAACTTGTCACAGTGCCTGCAACATTTTATGGAAAAGAATTGGCAGACAATCCTTCTCTATGAGCTCTGCTTCAAGTCAGCAAAGAATCCCTTGAAACAGCCAAAGCAAATAGTTTTTGTTTTGATTAGGCTGTTTTCTCTGCTAAGAACTGTTCTGAGCCTGAACATGTCACTTTTTTTTTCCCCAACCAACTTGAACAAGGTTTTCACTTGGGCAGTCCTGCACTAGGACTGTTTTGTAACCACAAAGGTTAACAAATTAAAACAAAAGGAAAAGGCCTTAACAGTCACAATCAAGAGATACGTGGTGAAGTTTTCACGTGATTATAAATACACCACTAAATTCAACAGAACAAAGCACAGGGAAGAGGAACCGACAGTGTGTAGGATCAAGACTCTGCTCTTCACCAAAAATGAAGACTGTCCAGTTTCAGTGAAGATTACTGACATCACTAACAAAAACAGAGAAATGCCCAGTAGCCAGATCGAAATTCCGTAAAAGAAAACAGCTCATTAAAGTGGTCCTTTCCCCTGAATGCAGTCTCCTTTCCCATATCTAACCGCCACTAAGTAATGGTAACGGTTGGAAACTCATTCCAGTCTATGGCTCAGGAACACATCCGTGTACCAAAGCACGTGACTAAATATTGTTTTAAAAGGTTTTTGCATCAAGTCAAACGTCTCTCTTAATGTTGTCTGTTTTTAACTCTGCACGTCACAGAAATGATACTGATCCCTAATAAAAGGGTAACAGCCACCAACAGCCTCAAACAGGGGATTCGTTTTGGGGAAAATCAGCAGAGACTCCGGGGCGAGGAACGCCATCCAGGACCCACGTTTACAAATAAGGGACAAAGAAAGGTGGCAGCTTTTGTTGAAAATCCAGATTCCTCTGGGTGTCTTGAGTAAAAGGTGCAGCAACCAGCACCCCCTCCATCAGGTGGTGGGACAGTCCCTGCCCTAAAGACCCGAGTCACACAGACCCCGGGCACCTGCAAAGACGCGTCCTTCCCTGCTGCTCTCTCTCCTCAGAGACCCTCCTGTCTGCCCAGAAACCTCTGCAGCCTCAGGTGGCTTCCCACCTGAACCTCCTGATGGCCCTGCATCTCCCCCTCGGTCCTCATCCATGTCCCCAGGTCCGCTCCCCTCCAGTCCTGACCGCACTGTTTTGTCGGTCTCCAGGACCAGGTAGAAACCCCACACTCTCTGAGGACGTCACAGCCAGCTCTGGAGCCCAGAGCACTGCCTGGTCCAGGACAGAACTCAGCACCTCTGCCGAGTGGAACCGCCCCTCTTCTCCATCAAACGCTGGATGCGCAAGGAGAAATGCTGATTCTCTTTGCAAGTATGAGGTAACTCAGGTCTGACGATTAAACACACACGCTGAGTCGCAGGAAGGAAGGGCGGATGCTCTGTCCTGAGGGCGTCTGGGGGCAGAGCAGCAGGAAGCGGGTGCTCAGCACCCACGCGTCATCCTGGAAACGGAGCGCTTTACTTCTCCTCCAGTTCCTGTTACTGATGGTAAATCCTTCGTGGATGGACAGTCTCAGTGTGCCCACATCCTCCCTGCACACGCCCCTCCCAGGGCTTGATTCCAGTAGTTTCCTCAGGCACACGGCAGGGAAGCCGGCACCACATGACTCTTCTGCTGGGTGACAGGAGCCCACCTGTCCTCAAGGTTACCAACGTGCCGAGTCTTCCTAGAAATATTCCCACCAGGAAGGCCACCGTCACAGGGCTGTCACCCCGCTTTCTATCAAGACTGTCCTGTTCCAGCTGCTGCCTCTTCCTGATCTTAACTCCGTCAGTGACAGTGACAGTGACAGTGGGTATCCATCAGACCCTCTGTGCTGACGTCCCACACTTGGGCGCCTGCAGCTGCCCAGCGGGCTGGCAGACCCTCCTCATCTCACAGAGGAGACACCAGAGCGACAGAGGACGAGGCACTCTGCTTCAAGGTCACGTTGCGTGCCAGTCGAGAGGCAGAACCTATATTCAACTTCGTAACGCCGCCCACAATCAGAGGTTATGCCAGGAGTCAGATGCGCGGGAACTAGGAAAAGTGCGAAAATTCCAGCAGATGGCCCAGAATCAGCATAGTCGGGCTGCTGAAAAACAAAGCTTAACTCTGCACTGTCCTCTCTGTATTTATCTCCCGTAAACCTCAGCTAGGTCACAAAGAACTGTCCTCCTTTGTGCTGGTGGGATTTCAAAGCCCCCGAAGGCAGAACATCCCCAGAAGAACCTGACTCGACTGCACTTTGCTGGGGCATGGGAAGCTACAAAAATGAAAAACAGCAGAAATAAACAGAAGCTTCTCCCTTCACATTCCCGTCCAGCAGAAAGCTAAATAAAAGCAAAACTGACAGTGGCCAGTGGCTGTGGTTATAGCTGAGGGGCCGTCCTTTCGGCCCACCGGCAACAGCAAAGGCCAGGCGCTGGCACCAGACTATGATTTTAGTTTACGTCACACTTTCAGGAAGTTGAAGGATTTCACAGACTTCAAAATAAGCCCCAATTCAAGCAGTGTTTACGATGTCACTGCCACTGGACACTAACCACCCTGCGGTTCACACGCTGGCTTTCCCCCCAAGGACACAGGTCTTTTGCAGAGTCACTCAGCCTGGGACACAGCACTGCTACTAACAGAGAGGTTTCCAGCACCTACACGGAGTTGACAGTGAGGAAGTATGCTAAGAACTGGGTCAAGGCCAAGGTCACAGACAGAGGCCAGTCTAACATCAGATCACTTGACCGTGAGGCCAGCTCCCGCCTCTCCAGCACCTTCCCGGGGAGAGGACAGGACGGAGCCCGCAGGAGAGCACCTGACAGAGGCCGGGCGGTGCTCACCAGCAGCAGGTAGACCAGCTTCCGCACCGTCTCCAGGAGGCACCCGGGCCTGTGTAAGCCCATTGCTTAATATTATCTGGGCTTTTCCAACTTAAGCCGAGTTATGAGAATTCAAGGAAACAGAAACTAAGTCTGAGATTGTAAAATACATGACTGTCCCAGAAGTGGGCACTATTAACATAGGTACGATAACCTCGTGTCGTTATAAAGCATTTGCTTTCCGGCCCGAGGATATTAAATGTCTGCCCCGAGCCTGAGAAGCCCTGCCTCTCAGTCCAGGCGGGGCGTGCCTGTGGCCCTGCACTGGGCTGGAATAGACACAGCTGCCCAGGGAGGGAAGGGGCGGCTCCCCCCACGGTCAGGGTCAGAACTGCCTCTCACGAGTTTCCTGTGCCCCAAGTGCTGTTCTGAGGTGTCCGTGTACATCAACTAACTCACTGCAGAGATCTTTTGGACAATTTCGTAGGTAGAAACAATCAGTGTTTCCGTTCTCTGGATGAAAAACTGAGGCCAGAGTGGCCAGCTCCTTGCCCGAGGTCAGCAAGCGCTGTGCGTGGGCGTGCGGGGTGGAACTCGGGCTCCTGAGG